AAAGGATGACTATTATATGTCATCTCTGCTATTGAAAGTTCATTCGTATTTAAGTTGTAATAATTTTTTGTATTGGGCTAATTAAAATCATTTTCTACTTTTTTTCCTAATTAAGAAAATACTCTAAAAATACATAAAATTGATGACTTCTCAGCAAGAATAAGGAGAAAGAAAGGTCTGACTTGTAACATTTATCGTATAGAAAAAAAATTCAAAATTGGACATTCGCACCACTTTTTATAAGTGCCGTCAATTTAAAATATTTAATTCACTATTGTAAATTCATAATCTATTCCATTCCCTCATAATACATTATAATAGGACTAATATGACCAATTAAATCATGTCTAATAACTTTTTTTTTTCTTCCTTCCATATGAATTTTTATTGTTCATCAATCTCTTCTCAAAATTAATTTTTAGGTTGTCTTCTAATTAGCTTCACTAATAATTATCTTAATAATAATCATCAACCATGAGTTAAGAAGAATGATTATAATTTTAATGGAAGCTTTGAGTACTCAAAATTAAAATATACTTTTTGGTTGGTGCGGTTATAGTGGTGTATACTCGATTGGAGAGAGAGAGAGAGATGACGAGTTTTTTTTTTTTTTTTGAAAACAAATACATTAATAAAGGTAGGGTACAAAAGAAGACCCCACATTGGGCCACATCATAAGCTTACAATAGGAACAACAAAATTAAAGACAAGACTAATACGATTAAGGGTCAAAAGACGCGGACTCAGACCAGCATCGGGTTGCCAGGGCGGAGCCATCCAATGGTAAATTCAAAGTCGAAGGAGAAGAGCCAACCAGGTTGCCAACCAACCCTGGACATCCACGACGCAGCAGCAACGCTGCTTCCTCATCGTCCATATCAACACAATATAACCGGGCAGCCAACAGACAAAAAAATCAGCGACCACTACGGCCCCTCCCACGAGACCTACCACGAGGGGCAGCCGAGGCAAGAGATATGTCATGCAGCAAGTTAAAAGAATTACCAGGATCGCCCTCTTCAATTGATTCCTCAGACTCAAAATCAAAACTATAGTCATGAAGCTAGTCCATATGGACTCGAAGATCAATGCCCGAATTATCCTTCACATTATACATTAATTTTTGCGGATCCATAAAAGTAACAGGGACATCCACAATATCATTATTAACTAAGCAATTATTAAGAGTAACGCTAGAGGTGCCAACAACAGCAACCTTAGATACATCCGCACCCGAATTATCCAAGACAACATGCATAGCCGGGCAATCCAATAAAACAGAAGGGGCCGACCTCACATACACCAAAGGAGCCATACGAGGAAGACCCTCAACGCTATGATAAACATGAGTGGAGGCTAAAGCAGAAGGAGTAAAAGGTATAGCATGAAGGGATAAAATAGCAGCAACCTCAACACCATTAGCACCTCCACCCGCCTCGTTAACCAAACCGACCAAAACCGGGGCAACACAAACAGGCTCAGAGCATACCACCTCAGCAGAACAAGCATCACCCTCATGAACCACAGCCACCGGAGAGCAGACCTCACCCAACAAAACAGGGTCAGGAATCAATTCATCCGAGCAATCCACATTCAAATTAGGCAAGACAGATGGGGCAGAGACAGTCCCAACCACCGAGAAAACATGACAAGAGTTTAAGACAAGATGATCCTCAACACTAGAAAAAGCCCTATTCACAAGAGTAGGAGGCAAAAATTCCTCCACAACATCCTCAGCAACCACCAGAGAGGAATCAACAACAATATGATCAAAAGGGACATCATTTTCCTTAACGACCACAACACCATTCTCCGGGATAACAGAATTAACATTAGCTTCCAAAACCTCAACACCATCACCAGCATCAGATAGCACAGAATTAACAATAACTCCCGCATTATCCTTAGAACCCAAAACATTCAGGTCACCATCATCATTCGAACGACTCACCAACGTAACCCGGGAATGGGATTTCGGGCATTCACGCCTAGTGTGACCAATCGATTTACAGTGATCACAGAAAGAAGGGAAATCGTCCATCACAACCATTTGAAAATAACCTAAATTCCCAGGACCAATCCAAACCTTATCAGGGTAACGCTTAGTAATATCAAGCTCGACCAGAATCCTAGCCACTGAAGGCCTAGACCCAACAGTCGTGGCAGAATTAACCTTGAGGGGACGACCAAACAAAGACCCAGGCCATGGAGGATCCGGTAAGAGAAGAAATGAGGTCTAAGGTTAGGGAATGAAACCCATACAGGGACAATCAGAGATTCTTCCGAAATGTCCACAAAGGGTGACCATTTAGTAAGCTTCATAAGACAATTTTTAACAAAATAAGAGCCATGCGCAAAAACCCGACAATAGTCTAAATCGCAACGAAGTTTGATCAGAACATGCCGGGAATCCAACAAGGTAATCGAAAATTCACCAGACAATTTTAGGTTAAAGAAAAACCGCCTAATACACTCCAAAGAAGGCCTCAAATTCGGGAAATAACCAACCAAAGAAAAAGCAAAAGGAGTAGCTAGGGCATAAACTTCATCTTCAGAAATCCAAAGAGAAGGATAGCCCCTAAACGATGTTTGCTTAAGATCCGAAAAAGTCCCAGAAGGGAAACCCTTAAGGGCATCGATGAACGAACGAGAAGAGGAAACACCATCAAGAAAGCCCGGATCCGCAAGCTTGACCGCCATCAGGCGGACAAACAGAGAAAACAAAGCAGCGAAAGTGAAGAAAATACCATAAAATGAAGAAGATGAAACTCCCCTGAAAGAATGAAGACGGCGAGGGGCGGAGGCGCCCCAGGAGAGGGACGCACGAAACCCCAAAGAGAGAGAGATAACGAGTGATTTGAGTAAACAGAATTTAACTTACGTTGCATTTATGACTAATTCATTAAATAGAACTAATATGACATTTAAATCATGTTTAATAAATTTCTTTCTTCTTGTTGCATATTGGAATATTTGTGACGGTAGAGAGATATATACTTAGTGTTCAAATTTTATATGAAGATCAAGCATACATACAAATAAGAGAGTGGGGTGCAAGAGTAATTAAATACATCAAGATTTTTTACATGGAAAATCCTGAAAAGGGAAAAAATCACGGGGCCTTGCCCTGTTAAAATGGCTACACTAGTGTTTATTTTTGGGTTGGCAGGATGATGGAGATTGGATGGACCTTAGTTAGCGAGAGACAGAGGTTGGAGGGACCATAGTATGCGAGCAACATTGATCAGAAGGATTGTATTCAACAAGCAACAGAGATTGGAGGGATTGTAGTCATTAGGCGAGGGTGGTCAGAGAATTGTAGTCGACAGGTGACGGTGGATGGAGGGACCATAGTCGATAGACGACAAGGTTTAGAGGAACTGTAGTAGGCGGACGACGATGGTCAGAGGACTTTAGTCGACGGGCGACGGTGGTCGGAAGAACTATAGTCGACATGTGACGATGATCAGAGGATCGTAGTTGGTAGGTGACCTTGGTCGGAGGAACCGTAGTCGACAGGCAACAATAGTCTGAGGGACTGTTGTTGGCAAGTGGTGAAGGTCGTAGGGCCCATAGTTGGTGGGTGATAGTTGTAAGAGGGACCCTAGTCGGTGGGTGATAGTGGAAAGAGGGGTCCTAGTCGGCGATCGACGCGAGGTCAGAGGGACCATAGTCGACAGGCAACTTTGGTCGAAGGGACCATAGTTGGAGGATGATGTTGGTCGGAGGTAGTGTACTCTTCGAGCGACGGTGATCAGTGGGACTAGTCAATAATCAACGGGAGGTCGAAGGGATTGTAGTTAGCGGGTGACGGAGGTCGGAAGGACTGTATTCAGCAGGCAATGTTGGTCAGAGGGACCGTAGTTGGCGGGCTATAGAGATTGGACGAACTGTAGTCAGCGGGCGACGTTGGTCAGATGGACTATAGTTGTCGGGCGAAAGTGGTCAGAGGGATCTTAATCGGCAGGCAACGGTGGTCCGACGACGGTCAAGCAGAAGTCCGACGGCTATCGAAGGTCGGGTGGTAGTTCAAATTTGAGAGAAGAATTTAGTAGCAATCTTTATTTTGTTTCAAAACAATGGAGATTAAAAAATATTGCCTCATTCTCATCACTAACAATTATTAAAAATCAAAGAAACCTTTCCCAAGCATACATTACAATTGCTATAACTGATAGATCTCATCAAAGAAACCTGATGTTCAACATTGAACCAATCTCCTTGAAATTTATGCTCCTTCCCTTAGTGATTGCTTATAGTTTCTTCTGGTTTGTCTTCCTAAACTTATGATGTATTTCTTTATTATATTGACGAAAGACTTCTTTGAATGTTCTTTGGTCTTATGAGCTTTTGTTTAATAGCCACAAGTCATTGTCATGGCTCTTAATTTTGAACTTTAGGTGACTTAATTTAATGTATTTGTCATATTTGATTATGTAGTTCAAATTCGAGTCTATATAATAAAACTAATTTACCCCTATGCTTCATTTATTGATGTATTTTTTAACGTTATTTAGAGTTCCAAATTTTATGCTAGAGCTGTTATATATTTACTTTCAATAAATTTGTTTCGAGGTTGATTTTCTAGATCCCTAAGGAGTCGAGACATGTAAGTATGTGCCCAATTGTGCTAGGCTCATTTAATTCTTTCTGAGTTCGAACCCGAGGCCTAACTCGATCTTGGCTTATTAAAATATTTTACGCTCGAGCTAATTTAGAAAGCCTTACCTTGACTTGATTTCTCATTTTTAAAATAAAATCTAAGTTTTTTTTTTAAAAAAAAGTTAATTTAATAATTAAATATATTATAAAATATTAATTTAAATTAATTAAGTGGCTCAATAAACATAAATTTGGATATAGGCTCGAGCTGAAGTCATAGCTGATGAGAGGTCAAAGTCCCAATTAAATCACGACCGTTCATTGGGCTCTCTCTCATCGCTGCTGTAGAATTTAAATGGGCCTGTGCGGCGGCCCAGATTGTTTCCACCGCCAATATATACCTCAGCTCTTGTGAAGCGCATATTCGAAAGCTCCACTGCACTTTTTTGTTTTTTCTTGTGAAGAGCTAAAACCCCTCATCCCTCCTGAGCAGCGGCCGGCGGCAAACCTCCGAACATGTCGGCCTTCATCTCGCTTGGATGCTCTAGTTCTTTTATCTGTGGAGAGGCTGTTGGCTCTCGTGCGGCTCGGTTCGTAACCGCGTCTCGGTTGCCGAGGTTGAAACCGGCGACGCTGTCTTATCGCGCGTCAGCATCAGCAAAGACCACTGTTATCTCTGAGGAGACGGGGCCGAAGAAGCCGGCGAGGGGCATCACGAAGCCCAAGCCAGTGTCGCCGGCAATGCAAGCCTTCCTCGGAGTAAAGGAGATACCGCGGACGCAAGCCCTAAAGCAGATTTGGGCCTACATCAAGGAGAATAATCTCCAGGTTTTCCATCTGGCTTTGGTTTTGATAAGAAGCTTCTGTAGTTTTTTAGGGTTTTGATGATGGGGTTTAGGGGCTATTTATAGGTCGGAAGAACTTAACATCCGTTAGGGTTTTGATGGTATTTCTGCTACATATTGGAATATCTAAAGGCAAAAGAAATGATGAAAAATTTAATCGTGATGATTCTGATGGACGTTGCTTGCTTTTGTTGGAAACTTAGTAGTTAATATTTGGACTTTTGTAACCTTATCCTTAAAAGGATACTATTCGTCGCTTATTAAAACCCCAAAGGGAGGCGGTGGTAGAGCCATAGACGTAACTACAAAGAAGAGTTTGCTAGTGTGACTTTATAAAAAGGGCGAGAGATCGAATGCTCTTGGAATCCACTCAAAGCTTCCTTCGGAGTAGATTTTGGATTATTAAATCTACTCAACCACTTTTAGTTCATTTTCTTATTCTTGAGTCACATCTACACTACATGTAATGCTGATGAGTGGCTTAAGGTTTCCCTCCTTCATTGCAACGGAAGTAGGTGTTACTCTACAAACCATTATAAATTTTGCCTTCTTTATGGGTTGTAGTCCTCTTATCTCTCCAGTGTTGATGTATACATTGCCATGATTAGTTTAATAGTAAGTCGAACCCCACACAGATGTACATAGAAGAAGTTGTTGCGGCAACTAGATAACCAGAGGGAGAGTTTGACTTTAACAATAACTTTAGCACGTTGAGTTTGATCCATTTGGAATCCACTGGAAGAATCCTTAGAAGTGGATTTTGGAGTTATAAATCTACTCAACAACTTTTTTTCTTTATTTTTTCATTGTTGCATGTACTCTACATGTTATTAGTGGTGTAAGGTTTACCCCTTTCATTACAATGGATGTAGGTGTTACTCACCAAGTCACTTTAAATTTTGCCTTCTTTATTTTGTCGTATTTCTCTCATTTCTCTGGTGTTGATTTATACATTGTTCATAGTTAGGTTTGTAGTAAGTCAAGCCATACACAAAACTACAAAGAAGGATTTGTTGGGACAACTTGATAACAAGAGGGAGAGATTGATTTCAACGAATGCTTTGGCACATTGAGTTGAATCCTCTTGAAATCCACTCAAGGCATCCTTTGGAGTAATAAATTTGTTCAACCACTTTTAAACCTTCATTTTCTCGATATTGAGTCTCATGTATTATACATGTAAAACTTCGGGGCATTGACTTGAATCCTCTTGGAATCCGCTTGAGGTGCCCTTTGGAGTAGGTTTTGGAGTAATAAATTGGCTCAACCACTCTTAAACCTTCATTTTCTCTTTGTTGAGTCTCATTTACTTTACATGTAATACTTGATGAGTAGCTTAATGTTTCCCTCCTTTGTTACAACCAATATCGGTGTAACTCACCAAACCACTATAAAAATTGCCTTCTTTGCGTGTCATAGTCCTCCAATCTCTTTGGTGTTGATGTATATATTGTTTAATATTAGGTTTCTAGTAAATTGAGCCGCACATAGTACAAAAAAAGTTTTTTTTAGCAAGTTGATAGCAAGCTTTATTTTTCTCATCATATAACTCTTTCAATTGTATGATATGCATGTGTGAGATTTATGAATTAATATGAAAAGAAAAGGAAATTGAATGAGTTAAAAGCTCATTTGGGGTTTGCAGTTAGCATATTCTTTTTATGCACAAATATTATAAGAGAGAGTAGATTAGTATGATTTTCATATGTGCAAGCAGGGTGAGGAAAATTAAGAAAAATTCTCTTTTATTCTTATGCCCCGGTCTTCTTCCTCTAATCTATATCAAAGCCTAGTTTGTCTTTTTTTTTTTCCTGTCGTTAAATTGGAATCTTGGGAGTTAATGAGTGTGGTTTACAAAAGCTTCACTCGTGACCGTGCTATGGTGTAAAAGAGCAAAGTTTCTTAATATTTTTGTATCTTGGGAACAAAGATGATTATAAATCTTGTGTGAAGAGAATATTCTGTATTCTAAAGACAAACAAACCATGCCCATGGATCAAGCTTGTTTCTCTTTAACTCAGATAAATTTTTTTGGTTCATGATAGTTTGCACTGCAAGTTCTTCATTTTTCTAACTTTTTATAAATTTTGCTCAACTATAAATATTGCAGTATTCAATAGCTAGCATGTTTAACTTTCCTAAAGTATTATTTTATTGTTCTAGGATATAATACTTGGGCGTTCTGTTAATACCTATTTTGTGGAAGTTTCCTTTATTTTTTTCTGCGCATCTTCAACATGGAACTTCTCTTATAAAAAAAGTATCTTAAAACTGCATTCTCTAATTATACTTTTTTTATATACAAGATTAGTCATCTAGAGTTTTCTGTTGGGGTAAGCTTCTTTGAGATGAAATATATTTTGAAAATCAACTTGTAACTATTGAATGCCTAAGATACATTATTGAATTCTAGAAGTAATGTAAAATGTCTTAGAGCTTTTCATGCAAAACTAAAATGAGTTGCCAAAAATCATGCAATAACGACATAAAATCCGTAGGTTAAAAACTCATAATCTTGGATAACTATCTGCTAACTTTGATGAAAATCTAGAACAAACAAATTTAGAAGAAAATCAAATGATTCTTTAAAAATGTAATACTTGATGAGTAGAAGAGAAAATAATAATATAAAATCCTTCTCTGTACAAGTTCAGGAACAAGTAAATCACACTGATTCTTTAAACATTCAGTCTAGTTAAAAATTAAATTGTATCCTATTTGATTAAAGTTAATCTCTCAAATCAGTAACAGAATATTGAACAAAAAATTGTAGAAGAGAAATAATTCATTAGAAGCAAGCATTTTGCGTGGAAAAGGAAATAATCTGCGCAGAACTCTTAAAGTATCTCACTTAATTAAGGAATTGAATCCTACAAGTGAAAATAATAATATATCCAATTAGAATTTTATGTAAATAGCTATATTTTTATTTTGTGCATGCCTTGGGCCATATTTATAATCAGGAAGCTTTTTAGAATTCCCCTTTCCATTGGTAAAAGGAGTCATATATGGCTGTTGCCACAAGAAGAAAACAACTCCCGCATTTGACTTCAGTAGCAGTCGGTTTCTTTTGTGCTCTATTCTGATAAAAATATATTTCCCTTGCTTCGTCCGGAAAAAAATATTTTGATTTCAATCTAAGATGTTCATCTCGCTGTAA